ACGTAATCTATACGTGAGTGGTTTGGCAATGACCTACTTGTAGGTTTTGGAAGCTATGTGTGAAATGCACTAAGTTGCACACAGGGCAGCGCTGACTTCGTGATGCCGCAAATCGACGCGCTAGCACTGCAGTAGCATTCCAAGGCTATAAACGAGAACGCAGCTATCGAAGTGTATCGATCGGCACCGGCTTCTAGTGCTCAAACCGGACACTTTGTGGTATCAACTGACGCAGGCGCTAGTGTTTTGGGAGAGTTTCCTGCTTCCTATAAACGGCAACGTCTGTCTGTCTGCCTGCCTGTCTTTCTTTCTTTCTTTCTGTCTGTCTGTCTGCCTGTCTGTCTGTCTCTGTCTGTCTGTCTGTCTGTCTTTCTCTGCCTGCCTTTGTGTCCTTCCGAAATTCGCTGCAAGAGAATTTCGGACAGACAGGTGGGCGTGGACCGAGATGAACGAAACGCAAATCTACCATCTAAGCTATGCGGCTATGCTCCGCCCCCTATAGGCGTGGCGTGCCCACAGCTCTCCCATTTACTTCAGAAAGTTCAAAAATTCCAGCACAACCGGAGAGCGGAAAAGGGAAACGATAGGCAATCTATTATTGACGGAAATGGGAGAGCGTGTGGTAGGGGGAGGGGGGTAGTGTTGCTATGAAGCTTTCAAGAATCCGAAGTAGCCGGAGAACAGAACAGCTGGGGAGGGAGGGGGGGGGGGTAGGAAATGTATGGCTGGAGGATGATAATTTTCTTAGTCCAGTCCCTGATAAGCCAAGAGAGCAGTAAATATGGCCATAGGAAATGGGTAGGAGGACTGGAAGCAGGCGGACCAGGCTCCCGTCGAAGTACTGGACCCTTCTCAGCGAATTGACCTTTTCTACATGCAATCGGCTTCGTTCTGAGAATAATGTTTTTGCGTACCTGCGCTGAACATCTGGAGCAGCCAACGCAGGGAAATACTGCTCTTCGACTTCTTTCAAACACACCACGCGTTCTCAAAGATTTGCAAGGCAGGTGTGGATATTGAAAAGTTGAAGAGCCCTCTATGAAGAAGTATGTATACGGTGAAAAAAAAACGTTTAAAATAAGAAAATTTGCGGAGAAAATTCGGGCAAATAATCCCATTCCGGCCAATGATATATCTCCGGACAATCGGCCAATCCGACTGAAGTTCTATTTTTTTGGGATAGTGTGGGAAGAGGAACCTATCCCACGTGGAGAAGGAGACCAGCAAAGCTGGCCAATACGACGGGCAGAGGAATAGTATGCTGCCAGGCCGTGCTGTCACGGGGCATGTCGTTTTGTGCTACATTCTCTCGAAAAAAAGCAGCCAGCGCCTATCCATTGCTAAGATGTCTGTAGATTGCTCGTTCCCGTCTATAACTTGGAGAGCTATCACTTTGACAGCGCGCGCCTCCAGGGAAAAGCATCACACTGCAGCTTCCTCAGCCCAAAAAATAAGATTCCGACAATAGGAAATATGTGCGTCTAACACTCCAGAAATAAAGTAAGTATCACGAGAAGCAGGATGGTTTTCCGACGAGTACAGTTGATAACATCAAGGTTAGTCGGGTCGGCTTCTAACGCAAAGTAACGCTACTTGCTGCACTTCCACAGTGACGGCTTCCGTCCCAATATCAGCCCTATCCGACCATAGGTAGAGCAAGGCATTCGGATGCAAGGTCAACCCGATCTCTTCGCACTGCCCCCAGTTGATTACAGCTCCACAAACTATAAGCTCAATGTTCAAATTTTTAGCTATATACACCAAAAACAGTGTTCTTTGCTGTGGATGATGGAGCGCGTTAAGGAACATAGGTCTACGATTCCTACCGTTATTTTTCTTAGCAGCTTTCGTTCAGCGACACCACGGCGTCACATCGCCGTCAGTCTACTTTGACCAACTATTAACGCTTACCCGCTTGAACGACTGGGATAACGGGCTGACGACACGTTACACCCAGCCTCCCTGACGCGCTGCTTCATCTGCTACGTACAAAATTGTACAGAAAGGATCAACTGAACTAACATAAAAGGTACCTGGTGAGTCACAATTGTGAGGTCCAATGAGAGCACCTGTGGAAACGCCCACTACAACGTATCGCCCTTTATTGTTGAGCTGGAACAGTGGTCCACCGCTATCTCCCTAAAAATATCACTGTCGCTAGAAGGCTCCCACTGACCTGCGCCTTCGGAAACACTCTGAGGAGAACCCGCTTTGTCCAGTCAACAGAGAACCAGTGTGCGCGCAATCCATCGAAACGTTGTCTTGTAGAATTCCAACGAAAGAAGCTCCAAAGTGTGCGCATTTGCGATGGTCACTGTCAATCACCGCATCGTTATCGGGAAAGATCAGTGCGTGAACTGAACTGGAGTCAAAGTGTAACAGTTGGGCCTTCACGCTTAGCTGCGTGATTTTTTTCTGTGGGCAAGGTGATAGGTTTGCAGCTGTACAGCATCGTGACTCACGTTGCGCGTTGGTCTATGAAAGTCAAGCATGGCTGATGGTGCGGCTTGTTGAGGGTTTGTGGCACACTTTGCTCGGGTACATATCACGACCCCTTTCAGAAACGTGGAAGGTTTCTTTTGGAAAAAGGAAGAGGAGAACAGATGAAAAAAAGTAGTAACCAGTTTAAGTTAAGCAGAGCCCTTCAGATCAACTGCTCCAGTGCCCAGGGAGCGTTAGAAACCAGGCAGCTTTTTTCCTAACAAGCGCACCGGAGTGCTCACACTATGACGACTTGTCGCAGTTTGTTTTTGGATTAATAATTCTACTGACCAGATCGAACGGTTGTAATTAAAGGCACATTCCGCGAAAAAATAAGGCTATGACCTCTCAAATGTGTCGGACGGTCCGGAAGGCGATTTTTGGGCTACTTTCAAAATGTGAAAAACGGCAAGAACTCCGCTAGAAGCTGGCCATTAGGCCCATGGACACCCCTTAGGCCCATGCCGACCCTCACCGGCTGCTAGCTACTAGCTTAGTAGCCACTATGTTATCTTTCTCTATAACATTTCGGACTGCTTTTACTGCTGCTTTTCTTCTAATCAGATACCTAACACTCTTTTGTGCCTATTTAAGTTCCGTTTCCCGCAATTTGCGGTCGCGAATTGTGCCTTTAAGACACAAAAGGCGTTAGAACCCAAAACTCAGTATGCTTCTGTCGGAGCTTTGATTGGCTTCTTGGGGGCTGACATTCCGATGGGGACTGATATCCTGTGATGCAGTCGTGTGCTAACAACCGGTTGTCGACCTGGTCGTCGAAAAGCAAGCGGTTTATAACCACAGTAGCGGCTTTGGGCTCTGCACGTATTCGCTCTGAAGCCACTGTGGAGAAATACATTGCCATGAGAACTTCATTTGGTCTCACTAAGAACAAAGTTTAGGTGGCTTCTTGTCTGCATGCACTTTAGACTCATTCTTGTGAGTTTGAGTCGGAGTACAAAATTGGGCAGGGAATATTACTGTTGCAGGCCTCCGATAGGCTCTGGTTTCGTGCATCCACAAAAAAATGAGGCATCCACACTCACGCTTTTGGTTAGCCTCATTTTTCGAGCGTAATTCGGAGAGCTGCTGCTGCAGGGATATCAGCCTAGCGAGGACGCTGTCAGCTGTCCGGTTTCTGTGATTGGACATTCGACGCTTTCATCGGCCTGCTTTTCTTAGACAAAATAGAACTTATGCGGTTCCTCTCGGCCACAACTTCTCCCAATTATTCTTTCTTTGGAATTCTGCAGCAAGTATCCATATTTCATTTTTATATCACAATTTCATGAAACTGAGTATACAGCAGAGCAATACCAAAGATTTCGTTCGGTAGTTCCTCCACATCCTACATTGTCCTCAAGACTAGCAAGATTGAAAGTATTTTGAGTCGATGTGTACTTCTCTCACAATGAGTTTTCTATCATAGTTTGTTACGACACGCTGCTGTCCGATCCCTTACCGTCAGTGCGATCACACAACTTTGTTTTTGTCATTTCAACGACGACACCTTAAGAGAATGATCTTCTGAAATAAGTTTCTGGAGAATATTCCTTTCGAGGCGAGATGGTATAGTTACAAGTGGCGCCCATATCACTTGAGCGGTCTTGGGTCGAACCCGGGTCAATCCTCGCATACGCCAACCAAGCTCTCTTTCTTCCACGGACGGTGAATTTGTACCAAATTCGTGTGGGAAGATGAAATACTGACTTTCACATGGTTTAGCTCCCACTAGTCACTGTACAGGCCATATGGTCTCTACTAAGCTACCACGATGAAAGCATAATGTGTGCCGCCCCACAAAGGGATCGACCAACGAAAACTTTATCCTTTATCCTTCTGATATTTCGTCTCAGCCTACAAAACCACAGCTTGTGTTTGCCCGAGCCCGATCGCTCCTCATTATTCAACGTAAGTTTAGGAAAAGCAGCTAAAAGGACGGCAGGACAATCGCAAAATCAAAGACTGTGATGCAGGGCCACCCACTTTCTGCTCTAACGGAGCATCATTCACAGCTTCACAAGGAAGAAGTTCCACTCCCACGCTTGTGTTTCAGTGATCACACAAAAGCCCCTCTCAAGGCCTCTACAACAATATCGAACATAGAAGGATGAAAAAAAAGTCAGCTCTAAAAGCATTTTCTGTTCTCTCAGTGGTGATTTGTAGACGCTCTTTTAGCTTACTGCATGCTCTCCAAAAACATCCACATAGTGATACCTCCCAAAGAACCATGACGCTGCCCGTTTATGTACGCCTAACACTGAACCCCCAGCCTGCATCCGAAAGCTACCATATGGCCGATACGATGACTTGTGAGAGCAAATCCATTTAAAAGTCAATGTTTCATTCCCCCCCCCCCCATGAATTTGGTAACTCACCGTCCGTGGAAGAGAGAGAGAGAGCTTTATTGGCGTAGGTGAGGATTGACCAGGGGCTTTGACCCGAGACCGAACAAGTGCCATGGGCGCCACTTGTAACCACGCCATCTCCGCCTCACAAGGAATATTCTCCAGGAACTTATTTCAGAAGATCTTCCGATCATCCTCATAACGTGTGGTGGTTGAAACAGCCTCAACCCAACTGGTTGCCTGAACGTTCCGTCTTTTTTGCATCTAGCGCATTTATGCCTTTGTGATACCACATAGACTTTTCACATCCGCTTTTCACCCATGGTGGCTCAACCTCGAAATCCCATCCAGTGAAAAAGGTCATCTTATGTTCTCGCCCATGTCAGAGAAGTAGCAGCCCTTTCTCTGAGCTCCGGTCATTCGTGGCACTACTCCCACCTATAGCTTCAGTCGCCGCCAACTATATGAAGGGAGCCTATGTGCCAGACTCTGTATGACGCGGGGTTGGACAATTCAGCGCTAGTTCTGAGCACAGAGGGATTTCCATTATGCAGTTTTTCTCCTGTGGTTACGTTGGTCACCAAATGGATACAAAGCGGGAAACACTCGCTCTCAAGTGTGTGAAACCCTGTGACTCTTAGCCCTTCCCTTCCGAGATATTCGCAATCTTTTAGTTTTGCCTGAACGGGATGACCTAACGCATTGCCTATGGGGTGGGGGATCCTCGTTTTGGCGCAATTTCATAATTGATTGTATGCCTCTCTAGTGGCAACGGCTGACGAAAACGAGTTGGCCCCGCGGCGTACTTTCGCACGATCGTCTTCACGTACCACAGCGAAAGCACCTGTAAAAGAAGCCCCACCTTTCGCCCTTCCCCCCCCCCTTCCAACTCGACTTTTACGCTACTGCAAGTGACGAAGATGTTATTGGTACAACAGTAGAACTGAACACTTCGGTGCGCCGAGAGATCCACAGTGGTTTACAAATTTCAAACGCCAGAGTCCTACCTCGCTTTTTTTCATTTCCAAGGATCGTGATAATATACGAGACTCAATCCGTAAAATAAAGAGTTCTGGATAGGCGACGGTACAACTCACCCCGCAGATAGCACTTGTATTGCTCTGTCCCAGAAGTACTTCATGGTGGTCTTCTGTGACGAAAGGAATTGTAGCAATTGCGTAGGTGGTAAGGTTCCAGTTCCACGTGTCTTAAGAAGCTGCTTTAATACCAATAAATGGATCGCATATAAGGTCGGAGGTTTTCGGGCTATCAACCATCACTTCCTGGCTTGTTATTCCAACATTGGGTTTGGGCTATTGTACCTTTCCTGGAATCACCCGTCTCCCATTCAGATAGAAATGGGTGCCCCTTTTGCCCATGTCTCAGAATTCATTCGACAATTTCGGGTCGTAACTAAAGTGGAAGATGGGATTCATTGGACAAATGTAACGTTCCTTACAGCATCAATATTGTAAACTTACCTTCGCCTCGCCGTTGTTTCCCCGCAACCTGAAGTTCTTTTGCCAGTGGAAGTTTATTGTGTGGTAAGCAAATCGGAATGGCATCCTTGTTGCTAACTTCCTTACTGAATTCGAGGATTGCAAGATCGTGTGTATGTATATAATCAACCACCTCCCCTTTCCGCATCTTCCGCACGCACAGCTTCATTTTCTTGTCGATAAAAACCTAATGAACAGAAGAGGAAAGGTACTAAGCAGAGTAGCTGTTGACCACATTTTGAAAGGGATTTTTGGCAATCTCGTACCTTTGAAACAGGGTATTCAATTTTACAGTTTCGAGGAGGGCGAGGATCACGAGGAGCACAACGGGTACCGACGAGTACGGAGAAATCTTCTGGCTGATTCTCTGACAGCACGTATTTTTTCAGACTTCCATCGCACTCACTCTCATACATCTTACGCTCGTCTATGTTCGCCGCACAATGTGCGGCCGTAAGAACATGACGTGGTGAGATCAGGGATCCACTGCAATATTGCGAATTTGCACCTGAATATTTCCCATTTAGGTGAAAGACTATATATCTGACACCGCAACCGGACGAAAACCCTCACCTATTAGTTGTTTATCAATCCATAGCTTGACCATCCACGGGTACTCGCCTAATTTAATAGTACGTCCTCCAAATAGCTTGAATGTCGAAGAAGATCCTGAATCTATGGTGCTAGTTGTTCACATTGATCGGCCATAGAAGCCGAAATATCTCATTTTTCGCGATTATCACGGCCTATTTCTTTAGGGGCTTCGATCTTCCTTCTGAAAAAAATACCGGGGACTTGTTAAAAAATCTGGATGCTCTTCATACCTCATATAAGTGTCCTTGCTACACAGAACGATGAATGAAATAATCTCTCCTATGAACATGTTCAGCATCCAAGATTTTTTTTTACCTCTCCACCGGCTTCTCATTGTCTCTACCACTGTGAGGAATTGGGCTCCGCATTGATCGGGCGGGAGGGGGGGGGGGGAGGGATGACGGAGGTGGAGGAGAGACTTTTGCACTCAAAGACACATGGTACGATCACACAGCAGCATCCAGTTTGGGTCTATGTGACTAACAGCCCCTCCCCCGCTGTCGGTTGCAGTTTCCTCGTCCAAAATACATACGCAGGAATGGAGATATCAGGACCGTGAAAACACGCTAAATTTGTCCAAGGTCTCCGCCTTATACCTTTTTGGCGGCGCAGACTCCCGTTCTTCGTAACATCCGTCATAAGCGCGCGTGCGCCGTGCGCTCCTTGCAATTTGCCAAATCCTTTAATTGCGCTTTGGAATACAAGTAAAACGCGATTTCTTGATGAAGGGTAACATTTGAGGTTCTCCAAAAAAAGAATCGAAGATGATGGCGAGGTCACAACTCAAGAGCAATTGTGTTGCTTCTGCAATGTCCCTCAGAGGCCGCGCATTCCCACAGAAATGACATAAAAACGGTCTAAGCGTTCCACTCGTTAGTTTAATACGAGCAAAAGCAGTTTCCTGATACGAATAAACATTTGAGGTGTTGCTCATGCTTCAAAATCCGAATACAAGGAGATGAAGATGACAAAGGCTGGATATGAAACACGACGAATGCAAATGCAAAATGAAACAAAAATGACAAATCAGAGAAATACAAATTAATTAAAATCGCGAGTTAGTTTCTGCGATCTGGCCTGGCGCAAATCCACCCCAAAGCCATAGAAATACTTTAAACTAACGAGTAGGACGCCTTGAGCCGTTTTTATTTTCATTGTTTTGTGGAAATGCGCGCCCTCGAGGGATATTGCATAAGCAGCACAGTTGCTCTTGAGTTTCATCATCTTCGGTTCTTATTTTGCAGCACTATAATGTTATCCGCATCAAGGAATTGCGTTTAACTTGTATTCCAAAGCGCAATTAAGGACTTAGCAAAATGCCAAGGAGCCGCACGCGGACACGCGGCGCTTGCGACGGATGTTACGAAGAACGGGAAATCTGCGCCGCAAAAAGGTATGAAGGCGGAGCTTGGAGGAATTAGCTTTTCGGCGGTCCTGTACCTCTATTCTGCTTAGTCACAACACATCCAAACTATGTGTGATCGTACCTCTGAACTAGTTCTCTTCACGTCATTCCTGAAAAAACCATACGCCTCACATTGGTAGGACCAGTAAACTATTATATTGAAGACACATGGTACGCTCAAACACATTGAGGGTGTATGAGACAATCAGCCCTCCAGCTGTGGATGAGTCGTGGTCCCCCGCCAAAACTGCACGGCGTCAGAGTGCGGAGGCCGTGGGAAAGTCGTATTTCCTTGCCACACCGCCCAATGCAAACTCACGCTTATGCTAACACCGTCCGCGCGGCGCCGTGTCGCATGCAGCTCTCTTGGATTTTTGCGCCAATTCCTGTATGTTGGCGCTTTGGAACAAGTAAAACGCAATTTCTTTATGGCGGGTAACATTTTAGGTGCTGCAAAATAAGGACCGAAGATGATGACGAGGACCAGAATGCAATAGCAACTGTGCTGTGTTGAATGTTCCTGCAACATTCCTCAGAGTCCGCGCATTCCCGGCAGAACATGACAAAAACGGACAACATGACAAGAAAACATGACAATACAAGAACAACGCAATTTCCTACATTTGATGTATTGCTCATGCTTCAACATCCGAATACGGTGATGAAGATGACAAAGGCTAGAAATGAAGAACAACGATTGTAGATGTGAATTGAAAAAACGAAACGCAAATTAATTGAAATCGCGTGTTCATTCCTGCGATCCGGCTCGAATTTGGCTCCAAAGCCATAGAAATACCTCAAACAAACGAGTGAGACGCTTAGCCGTTTTATTTTCATGTTTCGTGGAAATGCGCGCCTCCGAGGATTTTTGCGAAGCAGCACAGCTTGCTCTTGAGTTCTACACCTCGTCATTATCTTCGGTTCTTATTTTGCAGCAACCGCAAATGTTATGCGCATAAAGAAATTGCGTTTTACTTGTATTCCAAGAGCGCAATCACAGGACTTGGCAAAAAGCCAAGAAGAGCTGCACGCGACACGCGCCGCGCGACGGTGTTAGGATAAACGTGAGTTTGCGAAATGGGCGGTGTGGCAAGGAATCAAGACTTTCCCACGGCTCCGTACTCTGACCCCGTGCAGTTTTGGGCGGGGGACCACGTCACATGCGACAGCTCGGGGCTGATAGTCTCACACACCCTCAATGTGTTTGAGCGTACTGTGTCTTTAAGTGAAAAATGAAGCTCGTGCTTTGGCGAAGTGTCAAACACCACATCTAATAAAATGGCTGGTCGATGCAACCCTCCCTGCCACAACAACGCACCCAAAAAGGCTGTTCATACTACTACTCACTCACCCGTCTCTATGAGACCACTTTTCTAACTTGACAATCAAAACGCCATTATTCCCAATGCGGTTTTGTTTTCACCTCTTAGCGCTATCCATTCATAACCGTCACTGTACCATGACTATTTCCCAAAAAAAGGTAACTTTCCTCAGAGAAAGGCATTTTGCAAAACTGTGGATGGAGTTGGTGATCATTTGAAGTTTTCAGCAGAAAGTACATAGTTAAAGTGGTTCCAGCGAATCCGAGAAAAACGATGAAAATCTCGAGGAGGCGAGTTTCCAGGCACTTTTGAAAAATACCTTCGTAAATAGGGCAGGACCCGCAACAAAAACGAGAACATGTAGGAGGTGAGAAGATTCCTCCACAAAAAAAATGAAAAAATAAATATTCAAAAAATCTGCTGCTTAGGATTTTTCCGGGGAGAGGAAAGCACGTTGTCTGCAGAAGGCCGTGACATCCTGTGTTGCGAAATGTTGGCTGCGAATCGAAAGAGCGCCTGTAAGCTTCAAGCTGTTGAAGTGGGTATTTCTTATTTCTCCCCACAGCCCTTTCAGAAACCACAAAGGCCTGCAGAACACGTCTTCTATCTGTAATCAATGTCAACTGATGGGCAGAGGTAGTGAGAAGCTCAGGAGCGCCAAGAAACGCGACCTCTCACAGGCGCCAGTAACACTCAAAGTCACCGAACACTTTCTGATCTAATGCACACTTTTTGTAATTTGTAGCTTGCGAAGCACTTTCGCGATGGCATTGCTTCAGAATCACCGCTGCCGTCCCGCGTTTAACCCTTGTCGCGCATAAACCTTATCACAGTTCTGTTGCTGCTGATTTGCCCAAAAACACGACCCGCTTCCATCGAACCGGATACGACCTCCCCCGTTGATGATTTCTCAACGGATGCTGACCCTGAATGCATAGATTTACTGGAATATACGAACTCCACAGGAAGCACGTGTTCAGGTGGAACAGGAAAATGCATCAGTAGACCGACAACTGCTTTTCTCTCGCTGCGTCGATACCAAAATTATATACAGGGCTTGTGTGAATATCGAAATGTTACAACGACAGTGGAAGCGGACTATCATAAGTGAGAGTGCGCCGACCGGGAGCGCTTTCGCAATTTAACGATATGGCAGGAGTGCCTCTAGTATCACCACCCTCCCCGCTCCGTTTCCCGTGCCCGGTCCCGTTTTAGCGGGAAAAGGACCATCCCGTACTTAGGTGCGGACCCACTTTCTTGCACGCGCAAAAGGAACGCCCTCAACGATCAGTGTTACAGTTTGGCCATTATTAAAAGCGAAATCCACCACGTAAAGAACAAATACGTCTCGCTTGAAAGACTTACCCAACTTGCCACACCGCAGCTTTTCTGCAAGAGTTTCATTCTCTTCTCGTGAAAGACGGTAGCAATTTGCGGCCCACTAAACAACAGTAATACAGTTTGGGAGTATCATCTGAAATTGAGAAGGGATTCAGGAATTTGTGGTCGTACCAAGAATGAGGGAAGACTGGAGCCCCATACATACTTCGCGATGACGGGCATTGCCGAATGTTCCCTTTTCCGCTATACTCTTTCCAAAACAACAAATGGCGTGTGCCAATCAACATACGCCTTGTACCCAGGGCACATCCGTTGGTGGGGAATCCCCAGAGGGGGTTCGTATTGGCCGCCAGGAAGAGGGGGGGGGTCGTAGTGAGTGCGGCACTAAGCCAGTAACGAGCAGTGCAAATTGTCAATGTGCCGAGTCCTGTACAACGAAACTTTGCTTTGTAGAGACTCGGTATATGCAAAAAAATAGTACAAAACTTTCATCTCATCAAACTAATCCGAAATAACTGCAAATATTAAATAAGTCGACATTATCTCGTAAGTCCGTTGGGTGACTAAACAGTACAACTAAAACCCTGGTTCGCTGCCAATGATATGGCTGTCCGCGGTCGCGCTTGGCGTGAGCCAACCTGTTTTTTTCCTCGACAAGCGACAGGACTACCATTATCGTTCATATCAGACGTTTTTCCAGCAGTTGGTCTCCTTTAATCGGAGTCAGCGGATTGGTGGAGCACGAATCTGGCAGCGTTGACAGGGACATGTTCCATCATACCGCAACGAAAACACTGTAAAAAAGTGCACAGGCCTCGCCATGGACCTCCCTGAACTTTATAGACCATGTTGCTCGCGTGAAACAGACATTACGCACAAGTTGCACCATCCAATACCTCTGCGCGGCCCTCAGTGCGCGGCGGCACCAAAGTTGACGTTGAATCG